AGGGATTTATGTAATCAAAAAATATTATTTATAGTTTATAGATTAGTGATACAATTTTTAAAAAGTAATAATTTCAAGGGTTTGTGTTATAATGATAGTGTATTTTAGCTTTGACTATTTTTAGATGCTTTTTAATAGTTATATAACTTTTTTAGGAACTTGAAGTAAAGATTATTAATATATTCATTTAGTGCTTGCTAGATATAATCTTGTTTGCTGTTATAATAATAATATTTTGCAGAATATTCTAATAAAAATTAAGGTTGCTCTTACATAAGAGATGGTTACTATCTATGTCCTTGATAATGCTGTTGGATAACAGTTTGTCAGTAAAATCAACAAACTTATTCTATTTATCTGGGTTTATTCTATTTAAATCAAAACATATTTTCTTGATAGATAAGACAGGTCATTTAGAAGATATTTATAGGTATTTCAAGATTATAATAAGCAGATTATGGTTTGATAAGTCAGTTAGAATAGATGATTGTAAAATTTTTGAGTAGCTAACTATGTGGAATAATAAGCATGATTAATTCTACTTGAGAAGTATTTTTTTCTATAAAAAGTAGAAAGTCTTGTATTAGCATTATCATAATAAATGTCTTCTATATTAAAAAGGTTTCAGTGAGCTAACGTTCTAAAGAATTGATTTAAATGTTTCAGATTTTGAAGATGTTTAGGTTTAATATTAAGATCTTTTACAAAAATTACTTACATGGATAATATGAAGGCTTGTCTAAAGAGATCAACTATCTTAGTATATAATTTTTTTTTGGAAAGTAGTAATGTATGTATTAATAATCCTAATGTGAAATTTATTTTGCAATTATATTGTTAACATATATAATTCTACCTATAGGCTACTGTGATAATAGGCAAGATTTTTCTCAAAATTAAAGCTACTCCTATTTTGTAATTATTAAGATTTGGGTTGATATTAAAAAAACTGCAGTAAGAGTTATTAAGAATTTTAAAGGTGATAATTGATTGTTGTATTTAAAATTTAATATCTTTTAAGACAATAATATTAAGATTATATAGTTAGTATAGATTAATCAATTAACTGTGTCATTTAAGGATATAATATTATATGTAGTAACATTAAGAACTGGTAAAAAATTAGATAAGAGTTAATTATATAAACCAATTAGATTTTTAGATATATTATTTATAATTAAAATTATGATAAAAGTAGAGAAGTTTCTGCTTTCATATCCAAAAAGTCTTTGGGTCTATTAAGAACCACAAAGAACCACAATAAGAATTTGATAGCTTTTGTATAATTGCCCTATGTTTAAGGTTGCTTGTCTAAACTTATTTTGGATTTAACTAAACGTTTAAACCTTTAGTTTCATTAAATTTTTACTAAGTGTTTGATATAGTTTCATCATTTTTATAAGCTTTGATATAGTTTTACCTTTTTCTGAATTTTGCAGATTTTTTAATAAGATTTTAATATAATTTAACCAAGTTTTATCTTTATATTTAGATATCTATCTAAACTCGTGATTTTATCTAGCAACCTTACCTGTATTAATTAATATTTGTTGTATTATGTTTATTACTTTGGATGCTTCATTTAGTTTGTCAATATTTTCTTGTAGATTCTATTTAAGGAAATAATTTTTATTTTTAAGACCTTGAATGTCTAATTTATGGGAGATGATAATTGATTCAGATAAGTTAATTTCCACAGTAGTAACATAGTTATCATCTTCCATTTTTTCTTTAGAAGAGTGCATTAATAGTGGTAGCTTATCTAGAAAAAGTAGAGTATATATTTTAGAAAAGTTTCTAGGCATGTTACTTTTTTATTAGTAAATTTTAGATTATTATAAAATTGTTCTAATTGGGTAGCTACTGCATTTAGTTTGAACATTAATTGGTTATGTTTATCTAGTTATCCATTTGAGTAGTCAGCCTACTGAAAAATTTATTTTTACACTTAAATTTTATTAAGTAAAAATATTTGATGTAGATTGCTAAATTGTGTAAAATTGGTCTTAATAATTGTATATTAAATTTTTACTGAATATTAGTTAGGATTTGAGGTTTAAAACAAATATAAAATCATGTTTCTAACATTTGTAGTTGGTAAGTTATAAGCTTTTAAAGACAAGCAACTCTACTTGAGTTTCTTTTAGAAGCCACTATATCTCTTATATTTTATATATTTATTTTATTTAATATATTTATTATTTTATTCAAAATTAATTAGTTCATATCATTAGAAATAGTAGCACAAAATTATTATAAATAAGATAATTTTTTATTAATGTAAAAATTAAGATTGTAGTAGTCCTAACATATCAATAGTTCTAATATTAATAATGAACTAAAGGATAATAAAATAATTAATGTTAAACATAAATTTTCTTCTTTCTTTATATCCTCTATCTAGGATTTGATGTAATATCCTACACTATGCTATATATTTTAGTCATAATTTTCCTATTATTTTGTAAAGAAATTGTAAATAAATAGAGATATGCATTACCAGTTCAAGAATTCAAGCTTTTTGAAATACTTATAAGATGTGAATTTTCTAAGGTTAAAAACTTTGCAGAAGTTGTTTGTCTTGTATCATAAGTGATATCAACCAAGTCTTTGACAAAAGAAACAGAAGATTTAGATTGGTTAACAAAATAAAAATGAATTGTTATCACATAAGGGATGAAAGTAAAATTCCTACACTAACAATATGTCATTTTGTAAATAATTACTTTTCTAAAAAATGGCATTTAAAATCTTCTTTAGAACTCTAATCAAACTTGTAGAGCAAGAAAAAATACAATATAAAATGCGATTTAAAAGCTATATACAGTTTATATTAAGTTATATTCAAAAAATAAATATTCGTTAAATTTGGTCTATTCATATTAGGAAATGATCGACAAGATGATCGCCGATAGTGATAAATCACCTAAACCTAACTAATCTCAATTATACCAGCCTGAGGAGTAAACCTAACAATTAAGCGTTAGACTTTACGTCATTGATATTATTATTTCTTTAATTAATTACTTTACCAAATTTAATCAAATTAATGCAACTTTAATTTCTGTTGTAATATAAAACGTAAGCAAAAAAAAAATATATATCGATTTTGCATTTCACCAATATGGACACATTTCCAAACTATTATGCAATTCTCGACATTCCTGAATTCGCAACAACCGAGTAATTGTTGTCCACTTTCGTCTTCAAAGATCAAGACTTATTCAAACTAATTAATTCTTATATATATAGGGAAATTCGAGAAGCTTATAAGCGTAAAGCTCTTGATACCCATCCGGATAGATTTGCTTCGAATTTACAAGGTTCAACGAAAAATACAGAACTTTCTCAAGAAGAGGCAAAATTACATTTTCAGAGAGTAGCTGATGCATATTATGTGCTGAGTGACGAAGGAAGGAGAAAAAATTATGGTCATTGTTTTACCTTTTTTATTAAAGGCTTGAATGAGCACGAGTTAATGCAGTATTCATCCGACATATTTGACATATTTAATTAATTTCGATGATTTTTTCTTACCTGTGAGGACTTAATAGATCAAGCGAGAGCATCTCGAAGAAAACAAGAAGCTTCTACTTTATGGCAGTCATCACGAGCAGATCCAAATCAAATCTTTGGTAACGTGTTTGAAGATTTATTGAGACCAGAAGTAGAAAATCACAGATGGTTCTATACACCAATCGGTGCTGTATCAGGCGCGTGTCTCGGATTTATTTTTGGAAATTTGCCCGGTTTGGTATTAGGTGCATTTGCTGGAAAGAAATTAGGCGCTATTAGGGATGCAAAAGGTATGTGAAATTGCATTCTCCAAAAAATTTTTAATGTTTTGGAGATTTGGATCTTGATTGGATTGCTTTTTATAGGCATGTCTGTCTACGATGCTTATTCAAGACTTAACGGTAGTCATAAGGCAGCAATTCTAGCCGCACTGGCTACTAAATTAGTTTCTTCTGGACATCTGAACTAATATAATCTTGGATAAATTACATTACTAATATAATAAATCCATTAATTTTTGATATTAACCATAATTTTACCACACGATAGAATTAAAATTTTCACGCAAAAAAACATTCATTAAATAATAATTTTACTTTTCTTTAATAAAGATTCAATTAACTTTTGGTTTGAAATTTTTTTTTTTTGTTTGTTATTACAAATATGATGATGTGATTAATAAATGTTCTATGTACAAATGCATAACTAAGTATGCTTGGATGATTAATGTTACACACAATTTTGATGGTCGCAGAAAATTAAATTAAGGTAAATTAAACTACTGCCAAATCTTTGTTAAAATTTTTTTTTGGTTGCCTGGTGATGACGTTTGTCATCAACTTGACATTCCATGCTAATTAGAAAAAAATTCTCCATATCTATTCTCTACAAAAACATTTGAATTGGGTACCCAAAAAAAAAAAAAAAAAAAAAAAAATACAATAAAATAAAATAAAATGAATCTTTATCAAACATTTTGAAAGTTCGTATTAAACAACATCCCATTCCCAGCACATATATAAAAGAAAATATAGATTTTAAAAAATGATATAGATAAAATCATGAATCGAAAAGCAAAAAAAAAAAAAAATAATTATAGTAATAGAAATCCCTCCCAGACAATATAATCACGTTGACAAGAAGGCACCTACAAAAAAAAGAACGAGATCAAGAAAAGTTTATAACTATATTGGATCCGCCGAGAACGCTTCTTTTAATTTGATTAATTTAAAATTTAGAATTAGTGTAATTACAAAATATTCAAATAAATATAGTCGGACCTCTATATACCGATATTCTATATCCCGATATACTATTAAAAACTTGATATACCGATAAATTTTATTTACCCACTATTGAGATCATATAAATTATCGGTATAAATTTGATATAACGATATTTTTTAAAAATTTTCGTATATGTCCCGACATATCGTTATATAGAGGTTTGACTGTAATAATAATAATATCGTTAACAATTATGATTTACCTGTTATACTTTCTTCTGAATAACTTTGCTCCTTCAGAGGTCTTGAACGATACTTCTGCAGTTTGGGCCGAGCGATCAAACGTGATCGACTAATATCATGAGAATTCAAATATAAAGGTCTTGTCAATTTCTTGAATCATGAATTTCGTATAAAGCAGCATTAAACGGATCGACTTACCAAAATTCCACCGGGAATTTTGTTGGCTAAGTCCTGAATATCTCGCTTAGTTACACCTTCGACAACATTACCAATTGTCAATTTGTTAACTCCAACTGAAGATGCTGCAGTGCTAGGTGCTGCAGTTGATTTAGATGTTTCTGAAGATGCAACTGATGGTTTTGAAGGCAAACTTCTAATAATGTTTTTTGGTGCAGGCTTTTGCACAGGTTTAGGGGGTTGTTTTGTTGAGGTAGAACCGGAACGATTATCGGAAGTCGGAGCAACCTTATTCTTTGTGGCTACCGAAGCTGCTTTGCTGGTAATTGCCGTAGCAGTTCCTTGCTTAGAATTGGAAGCCTTGACAGCGGGGCCGGAAGTATCCTTTGTCGTCACGGTTGTAACAGTTACTTTACTTTTTTCAGCATTTTTTTGTGAAGATGACGTAGGTTTTGCATCTGGGGCGGAGGATTTGCCATTTGTAACCGAAATTTTTTTGCTATCAGGTTCTTTTTGGTCAAACCCGTCATTTGGAACCTTACGTTTTGGAGAAGGAATTGGCCTTTGATTATTCTGCTGACTTACTGGTAATCTTCGTGGTGGGGAGATTGAATTATGATGACTGAAACCTGGACTGACACCTCTAACTCCATACGAATTACTATTGCCACGTCCGCCACCCATTGGTGCCATAGAAGGATGATATGGATGCATTTCCATTTGTCCTTGATATGGCATCATGTTCATTGGAGGACCAGATCCCATTGGATATTGATTAATAGGATTTCCGAATGGCAATGCATGTGGTCGTAATCTGGCAAAATTTGGATTAACATGTATATTTGGTCCAATCATTGGTCCTAAGATTACAAAATTAAATTATTTTATGACCAAAAAGCTGATTCCGCGATTGCAGATACATAAATAATAATAAATCGTATCCATTTAATATTTTTTTAAAGATAAAAAGTAAGGGTTCAATTTACTTACCGGGAGGCATGTTTAGATTTGGTAACATGGATGGATTGTTTAAAGGCATTTGTCCCATTGGTATACTATTAAAATTAATATCATTCTATTAATTTTGTTTTAATTGCGAAATCTGCACATAATAAATCATACAATTACCCAGGCATTCCTTCTAATCCAGGCCCAAATCCTGATCGAAAAGATGACATATTGTTATTTAAAAACGAACCACTATTATTAACTGGACGCCAGTCATTATTTCTTCGACTACCGCGACCTCTATAATTTTGTGAATTTGGTTGCAGATTATTATTCTGCTGTTGTTGGCGTTGAGGCAATGCGCGTTGCGCTTGAGCTTGACGTTGTGTTTGCACTTGTTGTTGTGATTGCATTGATTTTTGTTTTTGTGATTGCTGTTGTCCTTGTCTATTATTCTCAGAAGATGTAGGAATGTTAATTATTTCACCATCTTCTTTCTCAGGGGATGTTGAAATCCCAGGGGATTTTGAAGTCCTTTTAACAGATTTACTGCTAGAAATATCTAATTTCGCGCTATTGACTTTAACAGCATCCAATTGTGATGTTAATGACCTTTTTGGAGTGTTTTCTTTTGGAGTTGTCTTAGAAATATTTGCATTGTCCGTGTCAAATTTTTCTGTAGTCCCAGACTTCTCAGCGGTCCTCTCATTTTCCACTTCTGCTACCACATTTGGTGGGTCTAAACCCAACTCTTTCCAGAATTCGTCATCCTCTATGACCACTTCATCGCCATTAATTTCCCCATATTCCTTAAGGAAGTCAGGATCATCCATGTCAAAATCTTCAATTTCGCCATATTTAAGTTCCTCTTGATCTTTTTGATGCACTAAGGTTGAATTATTGTCTAACTCGCTGTTTCCAGATAATTGATTATCAATTAATTCAGACATTTCTTTGTTTTCCTCTTCTGGACTTAATTTCCCTGTTTTTTTTACGAATATTTGAAAATATTTTTTTTAGTCAATCATCATCTACTTAAACTTCTATAAATTTGCGACGACTCACCTTCAGCTCGTTGTCCACCTGTCGCAAAGCTCATTTCAGCATCAAGGTCAAATAAGCTATCGCTTTCCAGTAAATTGGAGTCAGTAACTTGAGGATCTTCAGTAAAACTGAAATCGACGTTGTCATCAAAGTCCAAAATCTCGTCTACATCATTCATTTTGATTTTAGCTTTCCTAAGGTGCAGCTTTGGTTGGACTTTGCAAGTATTTAGCTATTATACTTGAAACTTGCAACCGAAATGTAAATTGCTGTTACTGGTTAGAATACTATTGGAGTGAAGGAGTTGAAATATTTCCAAGTACAACGGTCATCAGATTTTGTTCTTTGTGATTTACCGCAGTAAGCTTTTGTATAATCTGATATATGATTTACATTCGATTATTCTAATCGAGGTATTCGACGCTAACTTCCGAATTTTTATATTAAATCGTATGTCTCGGGTCAAGCATTCAAACAAATCATGTGATAACGATAATATTTATGATGAATTAAATTTTTTTATTGATATAAAAGAAAATCAGTTATATTACTTATACTTTATAATTTAATAATAATAGTTAGCGGATCGATAATGTAATTTTATTTATGTTAAGCTCTCCAAAACCAACCCTTATTTCGGTGTATGAGAATAATTGAGTAAAGAATCGAAAGCAATCAATCTTTGTCAAATAAAAAACCTGCCGCAGCAACAAATCCGGAAAAAAAACGGGTTACGCAACTTCGATTCCCCTTCCCTTTCCCCCTAGGTTAAAATCATGTCAACTTGACGACCTTTTATACTTTTTCTTAATAACTTTATTCGATAAAAAAGGATGATTGTAATTTGATTGTATGTTACACGTATATATTGTATAACGTAATAACGTATTACATTGGCATTGCCGCTGTGTTCATCAAGTCAATCTGCTGATTTGTTGAGTCAACAGAACAAAGAAACAAAAAAAAAATTTTTTCTTATTTGATATATTTCAAATTATTATTTTTTTTTTTTTATTTTTATTTTTTTACATTTTAGATCTATATTACAAGTATACTAAACAGTGTCTATAAATAAAAATATGGGAACAACGGAAAAAGAATTGACTACTCGTGCTAGTTATCAGAATCGAGACGGTTTCTTGACTTTGTTCCCTAGGAAATTACAGTGGACCACTAAGTCAGAAAATGAACCGATAATTGATATAGCAATATCAAATTTGAAAAGTAGTTTTTTATTTTATTTTTATTTTTTATTTTCTTTTGAAAATAATTAGTTTAAAAACATTACTTATTCATAACTAATATTTACTCAACGCTCTGTTGTTATTTATTAAGGTTTTTTCGTAGGCAAAGCAAATGTTGCCGAAGCAAAATTTAAAATAGTATGTAATCAAGAAATTGCTTATACTTTCGTCTTAACATCACAATCAGCGTGGGATGAGCTTGAAATAATAAAAGCTCGAGTTACCAGTGGTATATCCCGAGCACGATCAGCTGCACCTTCTCCAGCTCCCCAACGATCGGCGGCAACTTCGCCAGTTCATCATAGGTCTACAGCTCCATCTCCAGCATCTGGTGGCTCTTCACCCGCTGTGTGGAATAATAATTTGCAACAAAATAAGAATGGTGCTACAACAAATGGTAGAAATGGAACGACGTTACCGTTGAGGAAAATGCCTAGTGCGAAGGAAATCAATTTACGTAAGAACTTGCTAATGAGAGACAAAAGACTAGCAGATCAACATAGAATACTTGTCGTTGAACAGAAATGTATCGCAGAAGAGGAATTCTGGGAATTGAGAAAAGTATGGTGTTTCCATACATTTTTCATGTTTTCTTCTGACCATATTTTATGGGCCATTTGTTTGTTTGTTTGTTTTTTTAAAGTGAAAAACTAAAACGGTGGATGATGGCTTAGAATCTATTACGTGATCAAGATACACGAACGAGCCAACAGAAGGGTCGTTCATCAACGATGCCTAATCTGCGTCCAGTTACCGAAGAAGGTGGAGAAGCCAAGATAAACATTACTCCGCAATTGATCCATGAGATATTTGAAGAATATCCAAGAGTCAAAGCTGCGTATGATGAAAATGTTCCTGATAAGGTATATTAGATTTATAAATTATAAATTTATTCTTTTAAATTAAACGTATAATTTATTTTAAAATAAAAATTATAATCTTAGATAACTGAAGAACTTTTTTGGACACGTTACGTTCAATCTAAATTTAATGATCGAAATAGAGCAAAGACAACAACAAGCATAGGCAATGATGATATATTTGACAAATGTTGGATAGAAACTGAAGAAGGTGAATAATTTTAAAGCTTTCTACTATTAATTATTTATAAATATTTATATGAATTAAAATATAATATCTTTATTTATTATTATTTATGTAAGATTTAAATCAAGAAAGGGAACACGGGCGAAAGAGATTAAAAATAAGTAACCTTAGAGACTTGAATGCAACAAAGGAAGACCATATGGAGGTAACAGATTTTCTATGAATTGTTCAATTCAATATTAATTCAACATTTAACATTATGATTTTTGGTTAGATTGATTTTGCACCAGATATTACAATGAGACCGGGTCAAGGAAAAATTCTCTCTTTATTACGAAGAAATAATCGACATGGTGAACGAATATTGGAATCCGCATGGTTCGTGTTAAATTATTATAATATTAATCAATTATTAGTTCATTGATTTTTAGTAAATATACAAATAGTATAATCATATGCTATTTTTAATTTAGTGAAAATTCACGCAGGCATAAAGAATTGATTTCTCATCAACAAAAGGTTTAAAGAACTTTATAGTTAATAATTATTTATATATATATAGCTTTGATATACTTAATTTGAATTTTAATAGAAAGAGGTTTATACAGAAGACATTGTAATGGAAGATCTAATAGAAGAGGAATCACTCAGTACATACAAATTAGATATTACGGATCAACGTGAATACTTTGCTAGTCAAGCAGCTGAAATTGGTAATGATGTCGAAATGGAGCAGCAGGTAGATTAAAGAATAATATCGGTTATATAATTTACATGGTTATCTTAATTAACTTTGAATACCAATATATATTTGTCAGAGTTCGATTAAACACCAAAGCTCTACTGATTTACTAAATAAATTCCAAGAAGATTTTGCAAATTGGACTCTTAGTTTGGAAATTGTAAGGCTTTTTGATTTGGAATGTTGCTCCTATTTCATTAATTAATCTTCCTTTTTTTCCATCATTGATTAGAAGAACTCGTTACTAGAATCCTCTATCCCTAATAAGGTAACGAAAAGGTGTAATGAAATGATCAAAGATAAGCAAAACCGTATGAGAGATTCAAAACCTAAAATTGGTTAGCGTCTGCTATATATTTATCTTTGTTTGCCTTATAACATTTACAGACGCTGAATTATTTAATGTAATTCTATAGAAAATCTTCCCCGGAAAATTGAAAAAGAAGTTAATATAATTCAGTTGATGGGATATGAATTTTTACGTCATTTTTGGGCATCCGTTGGTTCCTCCAAGGAAAAAGTAGAAAAGAACAAGCGGATGAAAGAACAACTAAAATCCGTTTTAGAAAAGATTGATCAGGTTTCCGAGTTACAACCAGATGAAGATTATAAACAAGGATTAAACAATGGAGTACCTGATATCAATACGGTTCAGAAGGGTAAAGATGAACAAAGAACTACCGTTAATGGTAAACGGTTAAAAAGCGGCTCAAGGATCAGTTCTGGGCAAGGTGGTGGAAATCGTCTAAATTCCAACGAATCTCCAAAAACGGATATAAATATTGAATGGTATGATGCTATAATACAGGCCACACAGGTATAAGGAAATTTTCTTATTTGCAATGGATTATCTAGTTTAAGCATTTTTATTTAATTATTTATTTTTAACAAATAAAATATTTGTCACTACTCTTAATAACAGATGCTCGATCCTTTGTATAAGGCGATTAACAAAGCACTTGCTCATGATCAGCAGTCTACAAGTCCAAATATTTCGAGGACAGTCAATCGTCAAGCTAGGCAATCAATTAGCCAAAATTTTCAAAAGTCAATAGTTCGAGAATTGAAGCAAGCTAGTCCAGATCACCACAGAGCAATTTCCCGTGAAACAAAAACAACTTCTAGTCCGGATATTCAAAGGCCCATGCCTCGGGATATCAAACAATCTCAACATCATGGTATGCAAAAAAACCTCAACCGTGAGGCAAAACAAATTACTAATCCAAAGATTCAAAGGATTAGTAGCCACGATAATCAACAAAGCTTAAGTTCAGATGTTCAAAGGCATCCTAATCGTCAAATAAAACAGAATGCAAACATGAGACAAGACACTAGACAAGAAACTAGTCGTGTTAGTCCGAAAGTATCCGTTCGTAGTACTACACAAGTTCAGAATGCTCGACCAGATATTGATCGAGAAACAGCACCTGTTCGCACAAATATTAAGTTCCCAAAAAGAAACGTACAACAAAACGTTAGTCGTGATGATTGGCAATTAAATGGTCATGAGACACACCAAAATACTAATCGTGTTGCACCAAAAAGCTCTATTGTCGCTTCTCGAGGTTCTTCTGGAGGCACTTCTGGAAGTTCTGCCCAGGTTTCATCAGCGAATAAAATCAAAAATTCGACGAAACGAAAACGATAGATGGCAAGAATTTATTGTAATATTTTCTATAATTGTATATTCACGAATTGTTTTAATCCTTTTTTTTTAAAAAAAAAAATAATAATAATAATAATATATTATATATATATATATAATATCTGTATATATTATAACCTTTATTTGTATTTCCTTATTTAATGAGACAAATTTTTCATTCAAATTATAATCTTTAGGGAGAAAAAAATTACTAACGAAAGTAATTAATTTACTATTTATCATATACTGCAGCTTCTTAATACGAGATGCGAAAGCGAAATAAAGAATTATCCGTCACCTCGTGTTAAATTGCATCTATGATGTAAAATACATTATCTACGAATTTGAATACATTTTAATTTTGAAACTGAACATTTGGAATAGTATTTTAGTGGGTATTTGGGTATCGTTAACAATTTATTATTAAATGACTTTTTTCTAACCTCAAGAATATCAATTAAAATTAATAAAATTGATTTGCCGAATTTTAAAATGATCAT